AGCAAGAGAACATGGACACAGAACTTGGCTGGAGATTGTGGCTAGAGATCCTGGCAAGGCTGCTGATCAACTGAACGCTGTCTCCGTGTCATTCCTTCTTCACCGCCTCCGTCCACACCTTTGGGAACTCCTGGACCTGCTGGGGCTGGACCCCAACAGACAAAGTAATCTTGGTTGTAGGTTCTTGGCATTCATCACTTTAAATATTTCTTGCCACTCCCTTCTGGCCTGCATAGTTTCTGTTGAGAAATCAGCTGACAGTCGTATGGGTACTCCCTTGTAGGTAACTGATTGTTTTTCTCTTGCTGCTTTTAAGATTCTCTCTTTGTCTTTTGCTCTTGGCATGTTAATTATGATGTGTCTTGGTGTGGTCCTCTTTGGATTCCTTTTTTGGGGGTTCTCTGCACTTCCTGGACTTTAAGTCTATTTCTTTCACTAGGTAGGGGAAATTTTCTGTCATTATTTATGTCCTGACACACCTTGCAAGCCCAGTTTCCTCCTCAGTTTGAATATCCCCATTGTTAGTGATCTTACTGGTCTTTCAAAGCACATACCTCTGCACCTGGAGACCAGGACAGCACAATTACTCAGTGGCTCCACTCATTGGCTCCAGATAATGTGTTTCCATTGACTCAGTGGTCCCAAGACCTAAAACTATAATTAATCTTTGTAAGAAACTAACTTGCTCAATCTAAGCTTCTGTAACAAACTGCTTTTTGCAAGACAGGTTCCTCATTCCAAACCTCGAGATGTAATCAATACCTTTGTGATATTTACCTATATAAGTCTGATGTTTCAGCCAAAGGGGCACTGTGAGATTTGGAGAGCAATTGCCCCCTCGTAGTCCTGGCTTTGAAATAAGTGTGGCTCTTTAAATCGACTTCTTGAGGCATCCTTTGTGTGATTCCCAGGGTACAATACAACAGGAAAACAGGCAGGTTTAGGGAGTTTTAGGAATTAGGGGGCTCATGGGGGAAGGAGGCACAGTTGGTTGGGGACTTGGAGCTGGCAAAAGACATACATTCACAAAGAATTAAAGATGCCAGAGGATAAGGGGAGAGAAAGACACCCATTCACAGAGGATAGGGGAAAGCACAGGGAGTAGAGAAACAAAAGGGAGAAAGAGGAAAACAGATTTTCATAGGGAATAGAGAATTCTACCACAGAAGGGAAGAACAACAGGGGGGACCCAAGTGGGGTTTGAGCTTTGAAGCTGCTATAGTGACCAATAAGAAGGGAGCATCAAAAGACAAAGAACTGCAACCTTTATAAACCTTAAGAAATAGGGGCTTAGTGGGTCACCCCTTTAGGACCCTCTCCCCATGTGGGAGTCCATACTTGTTTCAAATAAATTTCAGCCTTTCCATATACCACCTTTTATCCATGGCTTCATTCTTTGAATCCACCTGGACAAGAACCTGGGAAAGAAATCACAATTGCATGATGCCCAAAGGAAAACCACGCATTTCAGTTTGGTTTTTGAGTTTCAATAACTCACCCCAAACAGCTAAGTCATGTTTCCTTTCTTCTAGAATGTTCCAGAGTAGGGCAGAGCCCTCAAGTGCTGGCAGGTGGCACAGTGTACATACAAAATTGTATATTTCGAGTCTATTGTTTTTACAATGTAAGTTTGGGAAGTGAATTCCGTTTGGGGAAATTCTTTGGGCTGGTGGGTCATGTAGAAAGCACAGCCGTGAGCCCTCTGGCACATGGACTGGTTGTCCCGTTCCCCAGGTGGGGAAGGGCAGGTGTGGGACTTGCATGAACAGTGGATGGAAGAAGAGGGTTTAAGTGCCTTGTGAAGCACCCTCAGCTGTCCTTCTGAGCATCAGAGCTGGGACTGCCTGTTCCCCAGGCTCCCCTCTGCCAGGCATTTCCCTTCATCCCATGAGGCCACAGGAGTGACCATGAAGTAATTAGAAAGTAAATGGGTTTGTCCTTTTAAAAAGAAATCTCCTTTCCCTGACTGGTTTGGCTCAGTGGATAGAGCGTCGGCCTGTGGAGTGAAGGGTCCCGGGTTCGATTCCGGTCAAGGGCAAGTGCCTTGGTTGCGGGCACATCCCCAGTGGGGAGTATACAGGAGGCAGCTGGTCGATGTTTCTCTCTCATCGATGTTTCTAGCTCTCTATCCCTCTCCCTTCCTCTGTAAAAAATCAATAAAATATAATAAATCTCCTTTTTCTTCACCGCTAAAGATTGTTGTAAAATCGATTGCACATGACACACGGGGGTGGGGGTTTGCATTAATTTCCATTGAACAGAGTCTCTGCCCAGGGTCCTGCATGTACCTCTTTCTCTCCTG